TGTGTGGCCTCAATCTGGCAGTTTGGGTTCGAATCCCGGATGGTCATCAACCCAAAAATGTACGAGCATATGTTATCAGAAATATAACATTTGTTACATTTGACCTCTTTCTAAATGGCAGTGTGTATTCAAAGCTAGTTTTGTTTGTTTGTTTTAACTGTCTATATACTAGCTAACCTATTTCATGCTTCTGAAGGAGGGGTGTGGTCGCCTAGTGGTTAAAGTGGTCGTTCGTCACCCCGAAGACCCGGGTTCGATTCCCTACATGGTTAGAATGTGTGAAGCCCATTTCTGGTGTCCCCTGCCGTGATACTGTTGAATATTGCTAACAGCGGCGTAAAACCATATTCACATACTCACTCATGCTTCTGAATGGTGGCTGGGCTGGTGTTCCTGCTATGGGGCGGTCGGGTAGCCCCGTGTTTAATGCATCCGATTTCCCCCATTGGTTCAATATGTGAATCTCATTCGTTGTGTTCCCGGCAAAGATTTTACATGAACATAACTAACAGAAACGCCATTCCTATTCACCCACTCACTCCTTTATTCAGATCCTGCTGCTTCGAGTCTCGAATTGACCCAGAGTCCAGCTTCGGTCCCGTATGATCAGGAAGTGAGGTTTACGTGCACCGATGTTTCTGGCAGCAGCGGAGGCTACTTTCGGTGGTATCTGTTGCTGCATCAGGCACCTGCACCTTACATCGAGGAACTTCCGTCCCAATCGACCTTCACCTATGACCCAAGAACGTGCTCCATGAATGCTACGAGCACGGCATCCGTAACCAACTCATGGAGATTCTACACTTACAGTGTAACGTGTGAGCTGATTCACCCGAGTGGCACCAGTATTGGAACGTTTGCCCCCGTGCATATTGCCCACCAACCTTAAACGATGGCGAACAGAAAGATCTACACACGACAGAATGCAAAATACTCCTTTTCAGAATTTACTCCACTTTTCATATTTTAGTACCGGTGAAATCGATTTGACATTTTTTTTTCAGAAAATATCTTTAAATTTCTCTTTTACCAAATTATGTGACCTGAAATAACGAATGTACAGTTGTATTTCTCGAAGTCTTCAAAGTCTATTTATAGTATGGAATTATATGATTCATATCAATATGTAATTCTAGGGACATCACATATACGCTGTCGTGGGGTATTCACATCGATGGCATTGTACACTGTAAAACTGATTCCTGCGACGGCAGAATGTGCATGCATATATTTCACTTCAAGGCGTAATAAAACTATTGTCTGCTGCACGACATGCTGTCTATAGCTTTAATGGAGCCCAGCGGGTCTTGATAATGCACATCAACGCTCACAAATGGACGTCACCTAACTGTACCGGAAGTCCCATTCCCGCGTTTCCTCCACTTCCGTTTGGTACACATTCCACTTCCGTTTGTCATGCTTCTTTATCAGAATCCCGGGGAACTTAAATTGAGTCCAGCGGATAATGATCTGTTACAAGAGCTACAAACACACATCTTATTAGCAGTTTGAAGTTAAATAATGAAAAAGAATAAAGTAAGAATTGTTGACATACTTACGTCATGAAATGCCACGTTCATCTCATCTGTCTTGGCTTGGATCAAGTGTCATTTCAACATGTCCACTTTTTCGATCCGGGCTAGGAAGGAAGACTTCATCATTTCAAATAAACCTTCCTCTTACTTATCTGTTTGAAGTTTTCTGATGTGTTCAGGGGCGGTCGGGTAGCCAAGTGGTTTAAGCGTTCGCTCGTCACGCCGAAGACCAGGGTTCGATTCCCGACATGGGTACAATGTGTGAAGCCCACTTATGGTGTCCCCCGCCGTGATATTGCTAAAAGCGGCGTAAAACCATACTCACTCACTCACTCTGATGTGTTCGACTTGATGTGTTCCTTAACAGAAATGTCCTCCTGGTACAGATGTTTGGAGCCTTGACATACAGTGAGTGAGTGAGTATGGTTTTACGCCGCTGTTAGCAATATTCCAGCAATATCACGGCAGGGGACACCAGAAATGGGCTTCAAACATTGTACCAATGTCGGGAATCGAACCCGGGTGTTCGGCGTGACGAGCAAACGCTTTAACCACTAGGCTACCCGACCTCCCCTTTGACATACGGGGAAAAACGAACAGAACTATGTCCACAATTTGCTATGCTATTTCACTTGTTCTCCACAAGGTTATTCCATATCAATTCATTAGAATGAGACCTCGTTAAACTACTGTGTATTATTGCCACAATTATCCATTACCATATTAGAACGCTCGAATAAGGTCCTCGGTTAAACAGTACTTCTGGTCGTATGACCATCAATGATTATACTGGAACAATTACAATCTCATTAAAATCAGATCTCCATTTTGATTGGTCAGTCAGAGGTATCAAATCACAATAAACCCTCTCTGAATGAAACATCCGATTTGGCGGCCGCATCACCGCGGAAGCTTATATTTCGAATAGTAATTCTTTTCTTTCATTGTCGGTAGGCATATTTAAATAACTATATCTACAATTATAGGAAACATATAGTTACTACAATATTCAAAGCTTGTGTTGCAATTTATCAAGTGCAAAAAAACACAATAGAAATCTGCAAAGAGAATGTATTTGAAGGTTTGAGGACTGTGACGTCATATCTGTTGCGTCACAATGAGCGATATGGCGTCATAATGGTGACGTGCGATGTAGAACAATCTTATTACTACCGCTAAACAAAGATCTGAGGACATCCCATTACGGGTCACGTCAGACCGACCTTGCGCGAACTTTGACTGACCAATGGAATGACCAATCAGAAGGCAGCTTTCTCGTGCTTTACGGCACTAATTTCAAATTGGCGACTACGCTTCGAAACATATTTTGACAAATTTGAAATCTGAACAAAAGAACGTTCATGAATGGCTAATAGATGGTCTAGATTGTTTGGATTCAATCGTTAAACCCGTAACTATCGTTCGGAAAACCCCGTGTTAAAGTTTTCGAGTTTGTATGATTAGAAATCACATTCCGACTGTCACTTTCATGATCTGGTAAGCGACGCTCTGATTGGTCGGATGAAAGGTCGTTATGACGTGACCCATAATGGGATGTCTTCAGATCTTTGTTTAGCGGTAGCGAGAACTAAGGTCCGATTTTAATGAGTTTGGAACAATTAAGAACATCGATGATGATACAATGCTGTAACACACCCAGGTGGTCTAGATGTGATACAATGGAAGGCGATAACGGACCCGTCAGTTGTCGAAAACGCCGATATTTGTTGTGTGGAGTTGTGTACCTGATATAAGACAGATTGGCAGAATCGTTCCGATTATCACGCCTGGTTTGTCAGTTTGTCAGTTTGTGAGTGAGTGAATGAGTGAGAGAGTATGGTTTTACGCCGCTTTTAGCAATATTCCAGCAATATCACGGCGGGGGACACCAGAAATGGGCTTCACACATTGTACTCATGTCGGGAATCGAACCCGGGTCTTCGGCGTGACGAGCGAACGCATTAACCACTAGGCTACCCGACCGCCCCTGTCAGCACCTGCATCACCTTAGGCTTACACATACACACGCACACACACACGCACGCACGCACGCACGCACACACACACAGACACAAACACACCACGCACACCAATCTGACACTGGACGAAATGTATGCCTGTACTTTCCTGTAAATGTTTCAGACATCGTCCCTAAATACTCAATTGATGTAATTATGACACCTTCCTCAACACACATTCCTGTCTAAACTATCACACATTTACATACATTTAAGTTAAACTTACAACCTACAAAATTTTGTAAAGGTGTTTTCCATCATGATGCCAGATTTGTCTCTTGGTTTGATTTTTTTCTTGGTTTGTCAAGACCGCACCTCTCATCGTGGGTGTCACCAAAGTGGCAAAGGTCAAGCTCTGCCTCACTTTGAGCTTTCCTCCCACATAAAGCTGACCCACCTGGGATTTCCTCACATGTTCTGCAGCATTAAATGAGTGAGTGAGTTCGGTTTAATGCCGCTTTTAACAGTATTCCAGTTATATCGCGGCGTGTCAGCTTAATGTTGGAGGAAAGCCCGAAGTGATGCAGGACCCAGACGTTTACCACTTCGGTGAAACCAACGAGCACGGGTATGGTGCTGACTAACCTAGAAACATAATCGGGGCGAACCGGGATTCGAACCCACAATCATAGGTTTCTGGCGTGCCAAAGGGACGCAACTCTGCACAGCGAATCACGGCGCCTTAGACGACCGGGCCACCCGTGCCCCCTGCAGCATTAAAGCAAATATACAGGGGACCCTCCACAGTCCAGCGGTGGATGGTGCGTGTGTGTTTTGAATAATATTCTATAAACAACAAATTACCTTGACCGTATAACGGCACGACCTGTTTATTGAAAACTCTACCAATAAGTTAAGCCCCATCCAGACATTAAGATTTACCTTTACAGGAAAAAGCTCACACCGGAGACGCCCTGAGCTGCCGCCTTGTCGTATCAATAGGCCTCTGTGACAAGGAAATCATATTATATCTTATATGGCCCTCCATCAAAATAGCCATTATGGTGGCATTATTCTGTTTCCGAGCAAACGGATAATCGACCCGACAACCCCGGGATGGCTAGATTGTCTCTGGCGAGAAATTGCTCAATTCAATATCCTGAATATGGAAAGACCTTCGCCATTTCCCATAACCAGGAAATTGACATTACGTTACACTCAAGTCTAAACAGATAGAGCATCATGTTTATACTGAGGACCTCACTATTTCGCTTCACGTACGGACATATGCTAGACATAAGCATATTTGGATATTTGGACATAAGCATCAGAGATGACTTCGCACCCGGTGTCAATTCATATATTTTTCAACGCTATAATGCCTTTTACGGCCATTGGAATCTGTTTCGGTGGATAATTGAGACTGGTTCATTTCTGGCGCTTATATTCTAATCTGTCGTTTGTTGCATCTTTTCATTATCAGCTAAATCAGTTGGGGTTGTAGGGAATGGTTTCCAAATTTCATTATTCTCTTTCCAAACTGCCTAAGACTCCTAGACACACACCTCGACCGAACTCACCCCCCCCCCCCCCCTCACCAACACCCTATCCCACCCCCGCCATCTACCAGCACCCCCACCAGCACCCCAACCAGCACCCCCACCAGCACCCCAACCAGCACCCCAACCAGCACCCCCACCAGCACCCCCACCAGCACCCCAACCAGCACCCCCACCAGCACCCCAACCAGCACCCCAACCAGCACCCCCACCAGCACCCCCACCAGCACCCCAACCAGCACCCCCACCAGCACCCCCACCAGCACCCCAACAGCACCCCCACCAGCACCCCCACCAGCATCCCCACCAGCACCCCCACCAGCACCCCCACCAGCACCCCAACAGCACCCCCACCAGCACCCCCAACAGCATCCCCACCAGCACCCCCACCAGCACCCCCACCAGCACCCCAACCAGCACCCCCACCAGCACCCCCACCAGCACCCCCACCAGCACCCCCACCAGCATCCCCACCAGCACCCCCACCAGCACCCCAACAGCATCCCCCAGCCTAGTTAACTGGGATATCAGTTTGACAGACGGTTCTAAAGACGTGATCCTTCCGAACCGATACAATCCAACCAGCTTGATCAAATACCATGTCAGTGCCATACAAACAGTCTCACGCCATCTGCATTTTCAAAGTGACAGCGTAATGATTTATCTGGCTGTGAAGCCGTTCTCCTGATCCTTCAATATGTCCATAGCAAGTTTCAAGACTTTATTTGGAAAGTTTTCAGAAAAATCGTACTAGTCTGGACATTCTTGGGTGCAAGGCCGGAATTGCCCGGTGAAGATGAGAGAGGCTGGGTGAAAACCGTTATCAGGTGTCAGAAACTGGTGTCGAGTAAAGAGTGAAATCCATAGGCCAGTCTGGAGGACCAGATCAGATTCAACGCGTGCCAAAGTGCCAAGGTTCGGCTCCTGGGACAAGTTGTCATGAGGGACATGAGTTGTCATGAGTTGTCATGTCAATGTATCTCCATGACGATGGAACATTTCGATTGCTTAATGTTCATGGTATTTACCTTGTTATTTTTTTACTTCTATTGTAACAATATAAATGGGATAATTAAAGGAGTTGCGGTCTGTAAAATAATCTGGACCAGACAATCCAATGATTGACACCATGATCATTTATCTAAGCAATTGGGATACGATGACATGCATCAACAAAGTCAACGAGCCGGACTACCCGATCCCGTTAGTCGCCTCTTACGACGAGCATAGTCGTCTTTTACTGCAAGCATGGGTTGCTGAAGACCTATTCTACCCCGGATCTTCAGGGGTCTAGTAGTGGTAGTGGTCAGCTTTAGGTGGTAGGCAATAGTAGGCCTATTTACCCTTCTGTGTTTGGGTTCAGTAACAGCAGGTGTAGAGATAGGGGCGTCTTGGACCACGGTAAGTCCACCATCACCCAGATGCAAATAAAGTTAGTTTGGTTTGTTTGTTTTAATGCCTCAGCAGTACTACGACAGCCTGCAAATAATAGAGTCTGGACCAGCTAGAGATACCGGGTTTTTTTAAGACCACGGTAAGCTTTTTTTGTCCCCGGGGGGTAGGATGAATAATATACAGGAATTAATATAACTGAACAATGGTAATAACAACCATTAATTTCTGAATTACTCAAACATTTGTTCACTTTTGCTATTTTTTTATATTTCAGGAGTAATGTAACTTATTGTAGTTTATAGTAGTTATTTTGCATAGGTGTTTTATTTTTTAGGAGCAATGAAACATATAATTGTAGTTTAAAGTAGTTTTTTTGCATAGGTGTTTTATTTATTTCAGGAGTAATGAAACATATAGTGTAGTTTAGAGTAGTTTTTTTGCATAGGTGTTTTATTTTTTAGGAGTAATGAAACATGTTGTAGTTTAGAGTTGTTTTTTTGCATAGGTGTTTTATTTATTTCAGGAGTAATGTAACATATTTTAGTTTAGTATAGTTTTTTGCATAGGGGTTGTTTTTTTTAGAAGTAAAGAAACATATATTGCATTTGCACGAAGGCGTTAAGGAAAGTAACATAATTAAGTTAGAATGCTTTCAAGAATGCAGCCTGAATTCTTGGAGAAGACACTGTATCACTCGCATGTCTCGCATCATTATATTGATTTTTTTGTCGTATTACAAGCATGGATTAAGGTGATCTCTTCGCGTAAGATGAACACAACGATCGCTCCGTTCCGTCGTATTTACAACAAGGAAGTGCACGATTGGAGTAAATGTCAGGCGACAGTTTAAACGGATATACAAGGAATGCATGCAATTCTTTGACGTCAGCAAGTACCTGAATTCCAGAATGCACTGCTACGGCCAATCAGAATGCGTACATGCCATGTTCCGGGTTGGACAGTCGTGGTCGTACAATTACGTCATCCCGGATATATTGCTTTGACATACCAGATTGGTGATGGGGGCATTTGACCATGTTAAACTTAAAATACCGTGAGAGTGCAGCTAATATAGAACGTTTTGACTACTTTTAGCACTAAAGAACGCATAAAAGATACTTTGATGTTGCGTGGATTACAATGACATACCTATACTGCTACGACTAAGGGGGCACGGGTGGCCCAGTCGTCTAAGGCGCCGCGATTCGCTGTGCAGAGTAGCGTCCCTTTGACACGCCAGAAACCTATGATTGTGGGTTCGAATCCCGGTTCGCCCTGATTGTTTCTGGGTTTTTAAGCACCATACCCATGCTCGTGGATTTCACAGAAGTGGTAAACATCTGAGACCTGCATCACTTCGGGCCTTCCTCCCACATATAGCTAACACCCCGAGATATAACTGGAATACTGTTAAAAGCGGCGTTAAACCCAACACACTCACTCACGGTACTAATAAGGACTGAACCTTTCGTAGTATTTGATGATATATCAATAGTCATCGAGTTATAAAGACGTTTTAAGTATTCCAATCTAGTCAAGAATTGCCCAGCTGTGTGGCGAATCCCTCTGGTGCGCTGCTTCCCGTCGGCGTGCCAGAACCGAGGACCTGGAATCCCAGATGCTCGGACTTCTCAAAGTAGTAAACGTCCAAGACCCGCATCACTTTAGGCTTCCCCCCACCCAGTTGACACGCCGCAATATAACTGAAATAATGTTCACTCACTCACTCGTTGCCTCACTTCCTATATTACAGTGAGTGAGTATGGTTTTACGCCGCTTTTAGCAATATTCCAGCAATATCACGGCGGGGGACACCAGAAATGGGCTTCACACATTATACCCATGTCGGGAATCGAACCCGGGTCTTCTGCGTGACGAGCGAACGCTTTAACCACTGGGCTACCCAACCCCCCTCCTACATTACATGGCCAGTTGAGTGTGTCTCTCTATTTCCATCAGTTATATCTCTCACGAGGAGCTTTTTTGCGCTAATGACATTTCCGACCACTTGATACCTTTGAAAAAAATTGTTTTTGCGTTTTATAGAAAAATGAATTATTAGCCTCTCATGATGGATTTCCTGACACATCAGTTGTTAAAAAAATGGACAGAATTGTTTGTACAGAAGCAGCAACAGCACTACTCCCAAACCCACTTCAATCCAACCCGACCTGTCTTCAGCAACCCGTGCTTGCAGACGACTAACGGGATCGGGTGGTCAGGTTCGCTGACTTGGTTCATGCATGTCATTGTATCCCAATTGCGTAGATCGATGCTCATGATTTCAGTCACTGGGTTGTCTCGTCCGGCGTTAAACAACAAACAAACAAACACAACCCAACCCACCCAGCCCACCCCTAGTCAACACCCACTGAATATAACATTGTCAGACCCTTGGTCAACTGCGAATATAATGAACGTAATGAGGCCCGTAAGATCAATTTCGCTTTATATCGCTTCCCATCTTCCCGAGACAAGGGAGTTAACTGACTGTAAAAGTCCGGTTTCTACCCTTGCGGAACTAGGCTGGGATTTCTGGGCTCGATCGTAGCACCACCAGTGGCTATTACGAGTTATGTCCCTGCTAAGCCCCTCCTATGGACCAACCAGATTCCACCTATCATATGACATGCAATTGCTTCAAACATAATGGCGGGGCCCAGTCAAGACGATCTGATCGATGATCAAGATCTATATTGTAATAAAACGGGTCTTACCTCGCGAAGTGCATCAAATCACGTGAGCACCTTGATTAAACACATGAAAAGATTTGTAAAATATTAGTCGATGCGCAGTTGACAGTACACATCCTTTGCAAATCCTGCAGTCGACCGAAATCTTCTCGTTGAAATCCATGTTGGATGTCGATATCGTAACGCGATTTTGATTGGACTATGCATAGACTAGTTAGTCCAGCCAAAATATAACTCCATAATCCCAGCCTAGTTCGGCAAGGGTGGAAACTGGACTTTTACAGTCAGTTAAATCCCTTGCCTCGGGAAGATGACTGCTTCGTTTGATCCATGATGCTATTGTCCAATATGATCAGTGCGTTTCTTTGAGGTTCTTGAACCAACTGGGGCGGTCGGGTAGCCTAGTAGTTAAAGCGTTCGCTCGTCACGCAGAAGACCCGGGTTCGATTCCCGACATGGGTACATTGTGTGAAGCCAATTTTTCTGGTGTCCCCCGCCGTGATATTGCTGGAATATTGCTTAAAGCGGCGTAAAACCATACTCACTCACTCACTCACTTGAACCAACTGAATTTCAAAGTTATGTTTAATCTGTCCAAAGTATGAAGGTGTATAAACCCAACCAACTAACACAGTTTACACAAGAGACACAATAATGATGAATGAAGACCATAATGTGAATGACAGACTGGAGACGTATGTTTGTCAGACATTGGATGCTACTATCGACGATCATACGGTACACATGGTAATGCTAATGACGTGACGTGGGATTGTGACCTTTATGTCTGCACTGTAAGCTTGAACAGATACAACAGCAGCTCTTACCTTTGTCATATTGCTCTCCAAGTAATTGATGTGTAATGCAGGGAAGCTCAAGAACACTGATGTAAATGTTGGCAGCAAGTAGACATGTGTCTCAAAAGCTATCAATCTGGACCTCAGAAGCATTTCATCCCTGACTGGACATTCAAGGGTCTCAGTGTCGTATGTAGACAGGAGCTGGCTCTATTTTATTCTATATCTGCTTGTTTGTCGTTGAACTCCACACTCCTACATTCCAGCTATATGACGGTCTGTAAATAACCGAGTCTGAACCAGAATACCCCGTGATTGATAATACGAGCAACGATCCACGCAATCAACTCAACCACCGTGCCTGACCACTTGATCCATAAAGTGAGTGAGTGAGTTTGGTTTAACGCCGCTTTTAACAGTATTCCAGTTATATCGCGGCGTGTCAGCTTAATGTGGGAGGAAAGCCCGAAGTGATGCAGGTCTCAGACGTTTACCACTTCGGTGAAACCCACGAGCACGGGTATGGTGCTGACAAACTTAGAAACATAATCGGGGCGAACCGGGATTCGAACCCACAATCATAGGTTTCTTGCGTACCCAAGGGACGCAACTCTGCACAGCGAATCGCGG